GAGGAGAGTCTGGGGCAGCCATGCAGGACCATCCTGTTCCTGCACCATGCAGCCTGCGCCTCACAGAGCTCGTGCCTTAGCACAAGTCCTTGCAGGGAGGTGGCTCAAGACGAGCTGAAGTCACCTGGATGGCACTGGGTCTTGCAGAGAGTCCTGGACACGGTGGAGGAGCACCCGGCCCAGGTGGTACATGGTCTGGAAGATGTTCTGCATGGAGTAGATCCTGCCCGTCTCCGCGAGGAGGGGGAGCGGGGCAATGTGCGCGGGCAGGGGGCACGCGCCCGGCCTGGGGTGCACACAGAATCACACCTGTTATTTCCTGGCCTTGTACAGCACAGGCACAGCCCGGCATCTGGCAGCGCCCTTCATCCCTTCAGCAGCTCCAAGCATCTCTGGGCAATGCCATCGGCACCCAGATCCCCACATCACCAGGTGGGAGAACCCACTCCAGCAGTTGCCTGACTCCTCTGAAGCCAGCCATGGCTGTGTGATAACCAGACCTTCACCAGCTGCTCTCGGAGGGGTTGCAAAAGGCAGCTCTCTTGCCACCCAGGACAACCCTGGACTTCTAGGGGGAAAAATGGCTCTTCTCTGGGATTAAGCTAGAGACCACTTCTCCACTGGAGAGATGCCGGAGCCCAAGGCCATGAGCAGAGGATCACTATCACCACGCTACTGCTCACAAGCTATGCTCAAAGAGCGGAAAAGCAAGTGTGCTCTTAGTCCACCCTGTCTGCAAAGCACCGTAAGTTTCAACAACCCGTGTAGAAACCCGGTTAAACCCTGGTGCCTCATTTGCCAGTGGTCACCTGCCCGTAGCCCCCAGCACGCTGCGTGCTGGTGCTGGAGCAGGAGCACACGTTGCAAAGCACCGAGAGGAAGATGGGCAGAGCCAGAGAGACCAGGACAAGCCAGAGCAGGCAGCGAGGTCCTCTTGGCCCAACGGCCAGGCAAGGACCAACAGTGCTCCCAGCCTGCTGTCAGAGGGGACACGCTCTCCCACGTGCATCTCAGCAGAGAGCTCATCACCCTGGGGACCAACACAGCTGCCTTCAATGCTGCCTGGCTCAAACCCTCTGATGCCAGAAGCCATGTTCTTCTTGTGCAAGAGTAGGACTTGCCAGGCACTGCCTTGCCCCGATCCTCGGGGGGCACCGACACCAGAGAGCATCAAAGCAGCACAGACGACAGGAGATGCTGATCCCCACCCGTGCCAGACGGCTCTGGGTTTGGGCTTACCACTCATGGTGCTGGCCTGGGCTGTGCAAGGCCAGCTGGGCACTGTCACTTGGAGTCTGCTCCCGCCGCGACCTGCTGCTGTGATGGCCCTGTTGGCATCAAACACAACCATGTTAGCGCAGAGATCCCACACAGGGCAAGACCAGCCCAGTACCCTGCGTGGTTTGCAGTGGCAGGAGCCTGTCCGCGTGGGGAAAGCACTCAGTGGTGGGAGCATTACATGAGCCTCAAACCTTGTAAGCTGATGCTGGAGACATGCTTGGAGCAGGGCAAGGGTCACCAGCAAGGAGCCTGCTGATCTGATCTCTATTCAGATCACAAATCCTGAACATAACGCATCCGGGAATGGCTCTTGAATCTCGGGGAGAAGGCTGATCGGCAGCTCCAGCAGCCAAACCAAGCATTTTCCTGCCTATGTCAGGGGCCTCTCTTTGAATGAGTTTCACACAAGGTTAAAATCTGCTTTCAACTCTGACATCAGAACCCTTTACCCTGCAGTGATGAAACAGCTCCATCTTGTACTTCATCCAGGAGAAACAGGTTGAAAAGGGACTTCAAAAGTAGCAGGAGGAGGTTGTGAGGGGACTGCACCTACCTCAGCCTATCTCCTGTTCACAAAATGCAGTAGGAGATCTGGCTGAATCGATGTCCCAGCATACAGGTGTGTACTGGCTATGGGACAGAAAGAGTTCCCACCACCCCTACACCCTTGCTCCTAGGGCTCCTAGGGCCTCCTAGGAGGAGGCAGCAGTCCAGAAGATGAATTCTGGCTTGGGCTGACAATAGACCTCTGGAGAAACCCAACACTGGGATTGCTCCCCCTTCCTACCACAGGCAACCCCATCCGCTCTCAATACAGTACCGATCGTTTGCGTTTCTGGGAGCTTGATCTGCTGGCTACGTGCAGAAAGGGGAGCTCCCTGAGGCAGGTGGGCTGCGCAGAGGAGTCCGGGGACATGTGCACCACAAGAGAGGGGACCTTCCTGTGCTGGTTCAGCGGCATGGGCCTCAAACTGGCATCTGAGATTTCTACAGAGAGGAGAGAGGCAAGAATTAAACCAACCTGAATGCCCTCAGGACAGGAGAGAAGAGATCCACCCATGTAGGAGAGCCAACCTTGTGTCTGTTGTTACCAGACGTGCATCAAAAACCATGTCCTGCAGGTGTGAGCAGCAGGACAGCCCAAAGAGTCATGGACTGGAAAGCAACCGGACACACTGCTCCAGGAAAGTGAGGTTTGGGAGCTGTTTTTCAAAGAGACGAGGCCATATGTCTCTGCATCCCAAAGCAGGGAGCCTACCAAAGGCCAAGAGGGAACTGTAAGAAATGTGGAGGGAGATGTCTCCACATTTTGCTCCTCACCTTTTGGAACTAAGACCCCTCTTGCCTTCTGTTGGTCACCTTTGCCTACCTCTCCCCAAGCATCTCTCTACCATCCTGTCCTACCTTCCAGAAGAAAGCTGACTGCAGTATCTGCCCCTGTCCTCTCCTCTTGCGAAGCAAACCACTGGGGACTTTATAACAGGATCCTACTCCCTAGGATGTTGTAGAGCCCCATCAACCTTCAGCCACCCCAAAAGACAACGCAGGACATTACCTGCAAGAGAAATCCTATCAGGGATGTGCATCCGAAAGGAAGGAGGGACATCCTCTGTCACTAGCTCCTCATCTGCAGGGCTGAAGCTCTCTGCTACCTTCAGCCTGTTGGGAACCTGCATCCTTTGATTGATGGCTTCTGTGAAGAGCAGGTCACAGCGGGCTCGGTTCAGGTCCAGTCCCCAAAACGGCCACATCTTTTTTGATTTCCTCAGATTGCTTGAGCACCCCTCGGGTTTCACACAGAGGAAAAGAAAACTGAGAGAAAGTGGTAGCAAGACACTCTTCCAAACCGGCACCTGCACAGGGATAAAATATGTGCTGTAAGACAGCTAAAATACAGGCAGAAACAACCCAAAAGGTAGACACTGTTGGAGTTGTCCCCGAGAACAGGGTGTCCCACAAAGCCCAGCTGGCAGGGGCAGGGGCACGGGGCTGCTGCAGGTGGGAACTCCTGCCTGGCAGCAGAGTGAGAAAGGAGAAAACTCCTACATGTCCTGGGAGCAAAGCATGAGCTTCGCAGCTATTGCCTCAGTTGATATCAAGGAAAGGGCAATAGTTCAGCACACCTGTGGGAGAAGAGCAGTTCAGCATACCCTAAAAACTGGTGAAAAAAAAAATTATTTTCCATCCAGAAGTAAAGTTTTTTGGAGGGTTGGGAGCACATTTATGTGTTCATACACCTTTAAGGAAAAATGAGGTTTTCTAAAACCAAAACACATGTTTTGGTGATAAGATTCCAGGTTACCACAGGAAAAACTGAGCACCAAACTTTTTCTCTGCACACACTTCCACTGCAGTATCCTCCCCAGGGCCATACCCTATTCCCCACCTGATCCAGTACCCATCTTCTTAAGTGACCCACACCAAGCTGAATAAGATGGATTTTGTCCTGAGCAGAGCTGCCAGATGCTGAACAATCCTCCCAGAGGGGAGGGAAAAGCACACGTAAGCTCCCCCAGGCCAGTGCCTACTTGGCTCTCTCCCAGGAAGGGATGGACACCAAAGAGGGACACAGTCCCCAGCTCTCACTGCTCCTGGGGGCAGCCAACATGGGACACGGACACTATCTGGGGCTCTGCAGCTGCTCAGGACGTACAACTGTCCCGTGCTTCAGTTTCCCCTTTGCCAGGTCCCAGGGCTTTGAGAAGTGCTCTGGGGCCACAACGTCCCAATGCTTTCACCGAGTGATGTGAGCAGAGGGCAATGAATGTACATTTTTGGGACAGGAGCCCCAAAAGACACCTTCCTGGCTCCCAGCATATGCGCTCTTTATTCTTTCTCAAAAAGCTGCAGCTGAGGAGAAAACCCCAACAAGCGAGGGCTGCCAAGGCTGGCAGACTCCAGTGGGACCCCAGCGCTGCCCCAGCATCCCAGACGTGCCACAGCCCCCCTGCACCCTTCTTGCTGCCACCCGTTGAGCTCGCCATGCCCAAAAAGGTCCCCCTTTGCTTCCAGTTCAAAGTCTCCAGCAGAGGAGGGACCACCTGCCCCAGTACAGCCCAAACAGCCAGAAGAAGGAGAGGTTTTCCTCTTCAAAGCTTGAGGGAGGGAAACAGGAGAAGGTGAGCAAGAGGGAGTGTGCAGGGGCCCTGCCTTCTTTGATCATGTCTGGGGACTGTATTTAGCAGCTGGGTCTCTGATACTGCGTTTCCAGCCCACCAGGCTGCTCCCAGCCAGCAGCAGCCAGGGCTGCCCACCACCACCCTCGCTGCTGCTCCTCGGGGCGCTTCGGACCCTCTCACCTGCCACAGCCCCCTGGGATATCACCCAGGGAAGAGAGGCAGGGGGAAATCCCTGGGGAGCAGTACCACCGCCCGAAGGACCACGGGAGACGCGGCCCCCAAGCCACTGATCCCATCCCCTACAGCAACCAGGCCCTGTAACTCCAGCTACACGAGGGCGGCAGAACCGTCTCCATGCCTGCAATAACCAGCACTGCCAGTGATCACTTGCCTTGCGCTGCTCGCTCCTCCTCCATCATTAAAAACTTTTTAATTAAAGAGACAGAAATTTGCCCAGCATCAGCTGCGCCGATTTCCTGCTTCCAGCCATGCAGAGATGAGATCCCCATCTCTGCAACCAGGTCTGCCCCAGAGGCGCTGCCGGAGACGTGGTGTGAGGGGGCACAGCAGCCCCTGGCTGCCCCACACCTTCCCCATCACCCTGCTCAGACCCAACACTGGCATGGGTGACACAACACACACGTACCCTGCTTCTCCCCAAAACCTTGAGGAAAGTGGATTTTTGCAGGAACCCCCCACTCGGGCAATAATCCTGGGACTGTCCCAAAGCAGTGTCAGTCCCACAGGAGAAACCTGCGTCAGACACCCAGCCCCACAGTCCACAACCATGGACACCACCAGCTCTTCCTTCACGTTTTGGTGCTTTAGAGAAACGAACAACCTGTGTTGCTTTCTCAGCCTGCTCTCCGGGAAACCAGCATATATTAATAACAATAAATCTGTAGAGGGCAAATCTGTTCATTTTCTAATCACCTATGAAACTGCTGCAGCTCCCAAAGAGCACAGGGATGAGAGGGGAGTGAGAAGCAGGCTCTGAGCGAGCTATTAAGAAAAGAAAAAAAAAAATCATCTGTCAAAACCCATAAGAACAAAATGCTTAAGTGGCTGGATTTCCTCCTTTAACTTTCTTTAGATCTTTTTCGAGCTATTGCCAAGCAACCCTCCTCACCAGCGGAAGACGACTTGCCTCTCAGCCTCTGCTTTGGCACTTCTTGCATTTGCAGCGACAGGGAATTTCCGGCACACTAAGCCTGTGAGTAGGTTTAAGTCCTGCAAGCCGGGAATACCTGTCCTGGGGAGGGAAACCCCACAACCTCCCTCTGCCCGTCCCTCCGCAGCCCAGGATGCTCCATACAAGGCAGGCAGGGGTAGCAGCCTGGTCCAGCACCCCCCTTAACCTCTCAGGATGGGGTGCCGGGGTGAGCAGCCCTCTGCGAGAGGAGCT